ATAAACGCAACAGAACTGTCTCTGCACTGTCTCGTGGAGTTCTTTGGGCTGAACCTGACAATACTTGTCTTTAAAACATATTAATTGTATTCATGGGATTATAGCTTGTGCCTCAGACATTAAAAAATAGGATCATGTAGCAATCCAGATTCAAAGGCAGAAAAAGATTTGGATCATGTGGGGTGTGCATATAGCATCCATTGGGAGTACCTTAACCCAATCCATTTTTCCCATAATTGTGTATCAGCTGTAGAGTACAGCAATGCAAGTTGAGGAAAACACATAGCTGCTTTAAAGTATTTCCAGGAGATGCTATACGCATGTCCCTGTATCAGTTTGCCCTTTGCATCTGTCTCTGTGCACAGGCAAATACATGAATTGTGTTTCAGCCTTTAATTTCCTAAAAAACATGTTTGCCATCAGATTCTAGCTCTCTGGCAGCCAGAGTGGTTTTGTTGTTACTGTTGTTGTTGTTAAACAAACAATGCGCCCCCCCAAACTCTTAACTTGCTGAGGACAGGGTTAGTTGAAGTTCTGACTCTCACTACTTATCACTATATTTAACATGAAACCGTGCAATTGTTTCTTTTCTTTTAGAGAACATGAGAAGAATATAGCCATAGCAAAGGGCCATGTGAGGCCCCTAATACTGAAGAATTACACAACTATCCACAGGACGCCATCTCAGGCCTTGAAAAGAGCTTCCATCTCCCAACTAGCTTCTGAGATCAGACGTTCAAAAGGGAAAAAATTATTCTTTGCTCTTCCTGATGGAACATCACTGATTTAGTATCCTTATTTTGCTGGGCAGTAAACTGGGTTATTGCTACACTTACTGAAACCTGTTAGAAGTGTGCAGTGTCAAGGGCATGTGAACAGCTACTCATCCATTTGATCTCTTGATCTAGCTACCACATTTATGTGACTTCCAGGCATTTAAGTGTTGCTGTTTCAAAGCCTTCATTCAATAAGGGGTTCTCACCTTGTTCTGATGCGGTGGCCTAGTCATACCTGCTCTACTTTGGTGAAACACTTTTAATGTCTATTATTCAACAGCACATGAAATTGGAGCAGTCCCCATCCAGTTTCACTTGTCTCTCTGTTCCTCATATATGGGTTAGCCATGACCAAACTTTCTTGAAAGATACTGGTATGCACCTCATCTAATTTGCACCAGATCATCTGGATTTATTCTCCAGTAGAATCAGTATGTTCAGAACTGTTCTATTTTTAAAAACATTAATGCTTCTGAAAGAGCATTAAAGCCATATTTAAAAGGAGCCACCCAAACACCTGACCAGAGCTGTGGGTGCTGTGCAATTAAGAGGATTCTTCCTCTTAATTGCATCTTAACAGTCCTGGTCTGCCTCTTCTTGAGCTGGCTGTCAGGTATTGGTTGGAAGGAGCTGATTGGATGGCTCAACCCCCTGTGTTCATAGACTTCCTGGTGAAAAAGTTGGCTCCCCACTTTTATCATATTACTTAGACGTAGCAGCTTGTGGATCTGCTGCCAGATATGGTGGGGCAATGGGAGAAGTGAGGAGAGATGGCTGTTCAGTCTAGGGTAGAATCAAGGTCAAAGGAACTGAATTACCCTGCTGCAAAAGCAGAATGGGACTGGAAGACAGCATCCCAGGGACTGGAGGGGAAGAGAATCTCTAAAGCCATCTAAAATGGCCAGTGGAAGCTGATCAGATCCCAGAAAAATCAACTGCCTCCTCAGAGGAGCATTGTAGGTCTTTCATACAAAGAAACAGTGACAGAGAAGAGGCAAAATGCTATTTTGACATGAGAATATCTAGAGACAAAACTGCCTCCAACGTGGGCTGAGGATGAGATGAAGATGATGTCATGAGGATGCATCTTGTAAAAGCAGTTAGCAGCAAGTGAGGTGGAGCCCTTTCATTAAAAAAATGTACAGTCCACCCACAGAAAGACTGTATCTTGATATTGTTTGGGTCTTGATATTATCTGAGTAAGGTCTATGTAGATTTATGTGTGCTGTGATTCTGCTTAACTGGACCATACTGTAGATGGCAGGAGCAGGGGGAGAGAAAATGTTTCTCCCTGCCTTTCATGCTTTGGAAAGTTGAGAGTTCACAAAGGAAAGGAGAAGGAGGGATGAAGGAAAATCAACTCCCTCCACCTATTCTGTCCACAGGAGTATCTAATTAGCAGTGGGAGTTCTTATAACTGCATAACTCCACTGTAGCCTTCTATAAACCAGCAATATATCCAAATGATTTTGGTAATGAATTGGTGGTCATGTTGTAGGCTTTGAAAAGTGAAATAAACTGAGCACAGAATATGTGGGGAGAGAAATTATGAGTTTTCAGGAAGGGAAGGCTTAAACCTTTCCTGTCCAGATGCAAAGTTGGTGAAACTCATTGCCCTGCAAAGCATTAGTATTAGTGTCAATGCTAATTTTTGCTACACTAGGTGACAGCACCTAATGAAGTCTGACTGATCTGCAAAAAGTTACAGGGCTCTAGTCAGAGTCCCATGGTCATGCATCTGACACCTCTTGGCGATTCCTTAAAACAAACACTTTTTTCCCAGGATCATAGAATCATAAGGTTGGAAGGGACTTTGGAGGTATTCTAGTCCAACTCCCATACTGCAGCTGCAGAAGGTAGCCTCATGATCCTAGGAAAAGATATAGCTGAAAGCAGTTGCAGACAGATGCTGCATGAGTGCCCCTGAGTGCTCTGAAACAGCTCCTTTTATCCTTTGGCTCTAAAGTGCTGTACAGTCCTCAAAACTAAGCAAGCTCAGATTTGGTTAGTACTTGGATGGAGACCACCCAGGAAATCCCAGGTCTGTAGGCAAGTTGGCAAATCATACGTCTGGAAGAAGGCGATAGCAAACTGCTTTCATTTTGCCACTAAGAAAACTGAATAGACATGTTCATGTAGTCACCAGGAGTCAAGCATGACTTATAAGCGGGACGGCTTTTTTCTTTGTTGAATTGGTGGAGATGAATTTCACCAGGATTGCATCTGTGAAAGGAAAACTTAAGCCTCCCTTTCTTATACCCAGTAGTTCCATTCATTAACCTCCAGGCTTTTTTTGGTGGAGGGGAAATGGAAGTACTTGCCCAGAGTCTCACACCTGGAAAACATGGGCACGTATCGGGAATTATCACGTGGCTTAATAACTTCTCTCCAAACAGTAAACTAAATACTTAAACTTCTCAAAGGTGTTTCACAAAGTGCTGTTTATTGGGCTGCCATGGAAAACAAATGAACAGTGGAGGAAATTCAAATGGATATTTTGGCCTTGGGTCTCTCAAAATCTTTAGAAGACCTTACTAATCTCAGTTCATCTTAAATTAATTATTTTATTTAATTTTGATTAATTTAATTCAGCAAGTCATTAATTATTATCAAATAGACCCTACCAGTTGGTGGCTGCAAAAATCTGGACAACCATTCAATGGCAGCAAAGAAATACCAAAAGCTCTAGCCATTTGCTGCCATCTGGTGGTCATCGGGATTTTTGCCATCCAAATCTGGTAGCCCATACCATTCTAACCACTTGGAATTTAATTTTCCAAACCCAAGAATGTGATAGTTAATAGTGCCACTTAAAGCCATGTGTAGTTTGGTCCTAAAGGGTAAGTCAGAACAGGTTGCAAGTCTGCAACTGAATAACGCTCATCCCATTTCACACAGCAGGAGTCTAGAATTAAACTTTTCAATCCTTTGCTTTCTCTCTCTCTTTTTCTCTCTCTCTCTCTCCCCCTCCTTCCCCCCTTTTAACTTCCTTGACATCCATTTGGCTGTGGTTCATTTGGAGCTATTTCACTGAAGCACATGCTCCATTTGATCTCTCCACCAAACTGGGAATTAAAAAAAGGCTGTTAATGCATTATTTCATATCACTTCTGTGACTCAAATGACTCTTTCTCTTCTAACACTGTGATTTAAACACAAAGGCCTCGTTTGAAGGCCTTTATATTCCCCTTGTTAGAGGTCATTATCCTGGCTAATAGATTCATTTGCTATGATGGCAGAGGTTATAGCCTTTCAGGCAGGCCATAGGACAGAAAGAGCCATTCGGTGCTCCATTAGAAAAATGTTATGTAGTAATCTGGAGATGATTTCACCACTGGTAGGTTGGCCAGGATCAGCATATAGACAGGTGCAGTAGTCATGGGGCATGGAGTGATAACTGGAATTTGCCCATGAACATGATTGCATCCGGTTGCATGAGAAAGTTTCTGCTGATGCAGAGGAGTTGCCAATTCTTCACTTTCTCCCTGCAGTCCAAGTGTCTTCCCTGCTTCCTCCAGATGATTTCTGAACCATTCAAACTTGGGGGCAACTGCAGGAGAAGTTCCATATGCAGGCCTCTCCTCTAAGCATTATGAAATGATGCCATGCTATGAAAGAACTGTGTCACCATGTTTGAACTGGCTTTCAAAAGAAATATCTACGTGTGCCAGTTACACTCACTACACCTGTCACTGAGCATGCCCAACATGGGAGTTCAGCAGCAAGTCATCCAAGGTTTGCAGAAGTGACCACCTGAGGAATGCTGTGTTTTAACTTTTTGTCCCTTTCACATTATTTCATCAGACTCATTCTGAGGACAGTATCACCTTGCAACTTCAAAGGGCCCAAGAAATTTCCCATACTCCCTGAATGAATAGCTAGGTAAACATCATTTTCATGTGTGCTATTACTTGACCTAATTCGAAGTTACCCATCCGGAAGCATTGCAGTTTTCCAATTTCCCATATGCTGCATAGGAAGAACAATCACCCTTCTGTTTCAGGATACTCCAAGTCAAATGCTTTTAGGCATGTTTACCCCGGGCCACTCATGTCTATGTTATTCTTTTAAAGCAAGGTGAGTGGCATTAATTGATGCTAACTGTTTGGGGTGGGTAGAAATGCAACAGAGAAAGCACCCATGAATCTCTAGGAGAGATCCTTGAATTATTCAATCAAGAGAAATAATTAGTGTAGAGAGACCAATTCCATCAAACCAGTGGTTGAAACAAATGTCATCATGCTATTTTCATATTTTCATTCAAGCTGAGTTAGTTCTCCTAAGTCTAGTCAAGCTCCCTGTAAGAGAATTGTATGGTCATTCAGAATATCATAATTCTTCATGATTTCTTCACAGGATCTTCTTCTGCCCAGCACATTCAAAATTTCATTTCATAATATTAACCTCAAAAGACATAGAATTATTAATGAATGCCTGTAGAAATGCATTCATTAATGGAAAAATATCATGTAAGAGGGAAATTATTTCACTTTTACAGATGAATAAACAGAAAAGTTAAGAGACCGGTACAAGGTGACATAACTAGTCAGTGATATGGATAGAGAAGGCAAGCGCTGTAACCCCAATTAATTCAAATGAGCATTATCGTTTATGGTTGACTTTTAAAATCAGGTTGTCTAGTTCCATTTAGTCTGGATATTTTATTGTTATGATTCCCATCCATCACTCTTTTTCTAAGTGAGGTAATTAATTATTCTGAATCTCTGGCTTTAAGGAGCATGTGATATGGCAAGCCATTAATGGCCTATGTTAAAAGCTTAACCCCACCGGGTGTAATTAATGGTTATGCCACATGGTGTAACTAGGAGAGAAAAAGGTCAACAGAGTGATGAGCAATTGGAATACATTTCAGAGGTGGACTGTGTGAGACAAAGGTTTAGGCCTGGGATGTTTCCTGGGAAATAAAGATCACTGAGGACACCACAATTGAGGGAATTTGGGAAACCTCGCAGAGAGGAAATGGAAGAGTAAACAAGTGGAAATGGAGGACAGATCATAAATCTTGCTTCTTCAGGGTTTGGGGAGATATAACATTAGGTGGGTTAGGTAAGTTAAGGGTTTGCAGAATGCACTGCGGTTTGAGGACTCAGTCTCGTTTTGATTTTGAGCATCTGTATTCATGACACTCTACTCTTGTTCTTTTGAACAGATAGAAATGGGGCTTTGAAATGTCTATTAAGACTTAATCTCAGCTATTTGATAGAAATATGCATTTTAATTGTTATTTTGTCCAACAGCTTGATTCAGTATTATGCAATGACTTAAAAATATGTGCACATTCTTCGTATTTTCAAGAACTCAGCTACTATGGCATAATTCTGCCATTACCATAGGCAGGGGAGCAAGGGGGAGCAATATGCATCATGATGCAAACTCCACCCTTTATGTACTTGTGTGTGATCACAGCACAAGTACAAAAGGGCAGAGCTTGTGTGATGACATCACCTCTCATGTTCTGAAATTTTGGCATCACCATGTGTAGGAACCAACACCCATCATCATAGCTATGTTACATTGTACAGATACTATATGGATAAAAAATATGGCATAATAGGGCTGCCCACTCTTTGAAAATGATAAGAAAGAAGTGCTTCGGGCCTAGTGCAAGCAAGCACAGCACCTCTCTCCATTGACTAAAGCAGCCTGTCTTTTTTCAGGCTTCAGCACGAGTCTGAAAAAAAGATGCCACTGCTTTAAAGAATCATCTTTTTATGGAACTCATGAAAGAGAGGCATCCTTTTGTTCAGGTTCATATAAGAGCATGGAGAAGCCAAGCTTCTTTGAGGAATAGCAGAGAGGTACAGTGCTTGTGGATTTCTTCCAAATCACTTTCAAACAGTGCATAGCCCCGTATGATGTACCAGTGCCCTGAATAAGAGGTAGAACTTTGGGCTTAGGGCCACTAAGCTCCTCAATATTGATTATGATGCTCATAATATTCTTGCCATCACAAGAGCCCAAAATGCTACTAGCTACACATGCATCTTCACCAGTAACCCTATAGTATTATTTGGTGTAGCTTGACTCTTTTTCCCCTCACCCAGCTTTTCTGTGGCATTGCTGATGAACCAGGAAGGCGGGAGTGTTAGAGACAAATATGGCAATTTAACCCACCACTGGAACTGGTATTCCAGAAACCAAGTTCTACAGTCATTAGATTTTCAGGTATGAATCTGGACTCTTGCTAATGAGTTACCACCATTGCTTTTGGCCCTTTTAACATTTACTTTACATTTTTTAGGTCAGTCAGTCATCTCTTCAGTTGGGTTTAGGTTCTACAAATACCTCCAGAACTGTGTAGTTCCAGTTGACAAATATCATAGACAGAGAGCATGTATTCGTGTTGATTCCTCTTGGTTATTACTTTCACGTTTTAGACCCTCATGCATTGCCACTGGGCACTGAAACATGTAATTTAAAATATGTGTTCTTACGTACTACCATATTATGGTAGCACCTGTTCTCAGGGATTGGACCCTTTACAGGTACAAAGAACCCAAATGATTTGGGGCATATCATTTGTAGGAAAACATGGGACATCTCTCCTTGTTTTCCTATATATGGAGTTGTCCGTTCTTCCTGCTGTTCCCCCAACTGGTCTGCCATTTGGCAGACAGCTGTTCTTGTGAAGTTCCTAAGAGGAAGGGCCAAGCCACTCCAGCCACTTTTTTTCCTTGCATCTCCCATTTACCTTTCTAGGAGGTTGGTTTCAACTACTTGTAGGAGTAAACACACTGTACAGGGGGTTGCCCTTGAAGAGTATTCAGAAGCTTCAACTGTGCAAAATGTGGTATGGGCAGTTATGTGTACCCCTAGAATGGCATATGTTACACCTTTGCTCTGTGAGTTGCACTGGTTGCCAGTCTGCTTCCAGGTCCAATTCAAGGTGCTGGTTTTGACCTTTAAAACCCTACACGGCATGGGTTTGGGTTATTTGAGGGGCCACCTCTCCAAATTACATCTACCCATTCCATCAGATCTGACAGAAGGGGCATATTTCAGGTCCCATCTATGAAGGAATTCCATCTGATGGGACCTGGAAGGTCAGCCTTTTCTGTCATGGCACCCACCCTCTGGAACATCATTCCCCCTGAGGTGAGATTAGCTCCGACTATATTGACCTTCTGGAAATCTCTCAAGACATGGTTTTTCCATCAGGCTTGGGGATCCCTTGGAAACAGGGAGCCCAAAAGATGGCTTTATTGCATATGAGTTTTTTAAACACTCTCCCATGGTCTAATGACATTCATGTTTCATTGTTTTTAATGGTTATTTAAGATGTGTTTTTATTGTTTTGTTTTATTGTACGCTGCCCAGATTCACATTTCTAAGAAGGGCCACTATATAAATTTGATAGATAGATAGATAGATAGATAGATAGATAGATAGATAGATAGATAGATAGAATAACTTAAAGTGAAATAAAATGGTTTTCCTAGGTGGCAACAAAGAGATACAGAACACACTCACTTTTTGCTGCTAATTAGTTTTCATTTGGATTTTTGCAGGCCTTATCTGAGAGCTTGAGATTTATTCTCTCTTCCCCCGATTCAAATAAATAAATAAATCCACCAATGCTACTTATGGTGCAAATAGTGATAGGAAAGCAAAGTTCCCCATAGGATCATGGGGTGTATACTTTTGCTTCCTAACATTTCTACATAGGCATACGAAGTCTGGGGGCTTCATGACCTTGAGAGCAGAAATTATTGTTTTTATTTGAAAGCCTCTGTTGACGCCAGTGGGAGCTTTTTGTACATTGTAAAGAACATCTTCATAGAGTCACTATCACCCAGTCCAAGTTAATTAAAAAGTTTAAGATGCCTTCAAGCCAAGCTCAATTCCTGGTAACTACATGAACACATCAATGCAATTTCTTGGCAATAGTTTAGAAGGAGTTTGCTGCTATCTTCTTTCCAGGATGTTGATCATCATCATCATCATCATCATCATCATCATCATCATCATCATCATCATCATTTCAGTCTAAAATATAGCTCTCATATTTCCTAATTTTTCCCCATTGAAATACTAACCAGGTACAGTCCTGCTTAGCTTTCCAGCCTAGGCAAAGTTGGCCAAGTAGTGTCACTATCTACTGAGACTATATTAGTATGATTAATGTCATTAGTGGGGGCTCAAACACTCCATTTATCGCAGCTTGTGTTGGCTCTGGTTGTATACCAAATCCCAGGTCAGATTTCAGCCTATGTGCATCTTTGCTAGTCCAGTTAAGAAAACTGTCACATATGACGGCGGGAAAATATCAGTTCTGTGTGAATCAGCCTCGTGACTCTAATTTATCTTTCTTTATTTCTTAGATAAATGAACAGTTAAAGTTAAAGGTTCTTGGCCAAAATTCCATGACAATTAGTTTTTCTGCCTTGAATGAAAACATCACCTTATCTTTGATAAGGCCTGGTTGTCTGCATGGATGCAAAGCTGATAAACAGGTACAAATGACCTAATGAAAGCACCCCCTTTTTTAAAAATCAGAGGGCTGATTTCCATTGGGACAATGAAGAAAAGACCCCTTCTGCATTTTGTAACCCTAATTAAAATTCATGAGAATTTGTGCCTGCCAATGCCGTGGCTCTAATGACCCATTAGGCGAGAACCAGTATGGTATATTTGTAAAAGCATTGAACTAGCATTGGGAAGATTCCAGTTCAAGTTCACCTTCAGTTATGAAAGGTCACTGGGTGACTTAAGGCCAGTTAGTGTTCCTTGCCCCAACCTACCTCACAGGATGGGTTTGTAGGGAGAGGGGGGAAGAGAGAGTACTATGTATACCATATTGAGTTTCTGAAGGAAAGGAGGCTCCAACTCTGACAGATAACAAACAGCATGGTTCAGTGTCATGTCTGGGTTATTCCTAAGTCTTCTAATGCTTGAGTAAAAGACTTATTGCATAATACCATACCCTTATAAACTTATACCTAGATTTTCTGCTTACCAGCAAAATTAAATTCTGCAATTAAAGCTATAGAGAAACCATACCTCATTCTCTCTCATTTCCCCCCTGCCCCCCCCCCCAACCACCCACTGCATTTGACTCTTTTCAAATTGCTTCCCTGGAGCTCCATTGACCTTTGAAAGAAGCCCCCCAGGAGCTTTGCCGAAACCAGCAATAAGGACAACTTTCTTTCCAAAGAAAATTTCTACGTCCCTTCCCCCTAAATATTTATACTGTGGATGCACTTTTGTGGAAAGACAGTCTTTGCATTAAAATGTTTTATTACTCCACTGGTTGCCTTCATAGGGTGGCTAAATGACATATTTATCAGTCACTTGGTGTTAATTGGCCCATTCTTTAGATTAAGAAGTCATTGTTGCCTCAGCTGTCATTCCTCTCTCCACCCCCTACCGCCTTTATATGTATCTCCCACCCAGACACACAAACAGACACACTGCAAAATATACATTTTAGATTGCTTTTGTTATACCGAAACAAAGGAAAGCTATTGGTTCAAGCATTAAGGAAATGAAAAATGTTTTGAAAATGAAATCCATATGTATACAATGTATTAGTATAAAAGGGGCCCCATGTTGTCTCTGGCAATTTCTATCACTTCAACAGCACTTTCAAGCCACTTCAGGAATGCTCTGAAAGGGAGGCGAGGGGCTTCCGCTGTGAGTCATGGCTGACTGAATGAGCGCAGGTGACGACCACTGTGTAAAACGAAAGACTGGCGAGTAGATCAGTCCTTCAAAGCTCTCCAGACCAGGAGAGAATGGGAGTCCACCCACAAGTGCTCTGAATGGCAGCTCGTCATGAGGAGACTGTATAACAGAGGTCTCCCATGGGTTTGAGCACCAGAAGCCAAGGGAGACAAGATCTTTGCTCTCATCAGCAGCAAAGCCTTTAATAAGGACACTAAGCTGGCAAACTCAGTTTTTTTTTTTTAATTTTTTTTTTTTTTTTACAACAAACACATACAAACAATAACATAAAAAGCATTAAAAAAAACCATCTTCCA